CACCAAAGATAGCTAACTTGAATTATCTCCGACCATCCATTGAACGATTTCAACGAAATCTTAGCTGCACATATTTTTTTTCGAAACCACCCCCTACGTGGTGCTAGAATTCCTAATCCACGTGGACACCCCCTCAGGCCGCCATCCATCCCGAAATATTGAAAGCATTTGCGAGTATGAATAGCCAAACAGTGAACCTTTCCATAACACACGAAAAGCATAATCTCACACGAGTGGAACGTGAAGCGTTAAACTTACTCAAGAAAGACGATAGCATTGTTATTAAAAAGAGTGACAAAGGTTCATGTTGTGTCATTCTGAATAGGGAGGATTACGTTTCAGAAGCAGAGAATCAACTGAATAATCCTAAACATTATGCCATTTTACCGAAACCAATTTTCAAAGAAACTGCTATCATGATTAACAATATTCTTGCCGATTTAGTCAAAACTAGTTATCTCAAACAGAAACAATATGACTATCTGTCTGCCAAACCTGATAGTCGCGAGAAACATTTGTACACTTTGCCTAAAATCCATAAGAATCCAACCAAGGAGTGGTTTATCTCGAATAAAATCCCTAAAGGCAGCCCGATTATATCTGACTGTAGGAGTCATATGCAGTGTCAGAATACATTGATCATTTCTTACTACCTCTAGCATGTCAACATCGCGCCTACCTTAAAGACACAACCGATTTTGTCAATAAAATAAAAAATCTTCGAGTTCCCTCTAATGCTATTTTAATTTCTATCGACGTTTCTTCTATGTATACCAATATCGATAACAATACTGGTCTAACGGCAGTTCGTAAAGCTTTTAATAGAAACCAAGATCCAAACTGACCCGACGATGCAATTCTACAGCTTTTAGAGATTTGTCTTAGTCGAAACGATTTCACATTTAATTGTAAAACATATTTACAAACTTCAGGGACAGCAATGGGCAAACGATTCGACCCTTCGTACGCAAACCTTTTCATGGCAGAGTGGGATCGTGAGGTGTTGCCCCTCTGTCCATTTGACCCACTTTTTACGGACGTTTTTTGGATGACATTTTTATGGTTTGGACTTATTCTATCGAACAGTTTTGGGAATTCTCTGAAATTCTCAACAACCACCACCCTTCTATCAAACTAACCGCAAACGTGAGTGACAAAAGCATAGACTTTCTCGATACCACAGTCTTTAAGGGAGATTCCATAGCAGAAACAAATAAACTGGATATTAAAGTGTATTTCTAAGAAACTGATACTCATCAACTCTTGCACAGGAGCTCCTTTCACCCAAAACATACCTTTTCTGGTATAATTAAGTCACAAGTTTTACGATTTCATCGAATTTGTACAAGATCTTCTGATTTCAACCAAGTCTGTACCATTGTTTTCTCAAAACTGAAAGAGCGTGGGTACTCTAAACGATTTTTACGAAACATAAAAAATTGCACAGATAGCAGTACTTTATGCCGAAGTACCTCCAGGTTTAAGAAGTGCTCCATGTTTGTCCAGTAGATGCAAAACATGTCCCTTTATATCAGAAACTCATTATTTTGTAAGCAACTCTACGAATAAAAGGTACCCGATCCAGGAACATCTAACATGTGAACATTCGAATGCAATATATTTAATTTCATGCAAGAAATGCCCCAAACAATATGTAGGAGAAACTAAGAATAATTTACGAACTCGCTTTAATGCTCATAGGTCAGACATCAAATTAAAGAAAGACGAGCCTGTTTTTAATCATTTCAACCTCGACGACCATTCAATAGACGATCTCACCCTAATCCCAACTGAGCGTATAGAAATTGACTTGCCCGAAGATGAAACTACCAAATTCTGTCAATCTAGGGAAGCCCATTGGATTGAGACATTGAATACAGCAAGACCTATAGGACTAAATATTCATCATAATGTAGGCATAGCACCCTTTGTTGTCCCGTTTAATACAACCAGCAATCGAGCAAGCCAGATAGTTCATTCCCACTATAAGGGCCTTCAAGAGAAATTCCCCCATGTCTATAAGCAGAAAATGATAGTTGCATATTCAAAAAATAAGAACTTAAATGATAATATTGTTCATAGTAAACTAAAAACAATCAGTACATAACAGATACTATTTTTTCTAATTTCGGATCAGAAGAAAACACAATATCAAGACCCTTAATCCTAATTTCTAAATAAAGTGTCTGCTCCACCCTAGGCCTGTACATTTGGGAGAATCAAACCCTCCCTTCCCCGAAATCTAATTATTTACAACATATTAATTTCACATGTTCCTATCAACATGAATCACCTAGTTTAGCGGCATGGGGTAATTCATCTAATCTACCAATGAATTTGAGAAAGATCATAGATGTAGACATTGCTAAATACACTAAAGATAACTGGGAATCTTTAAGACACGAATGGGGACCATATGCAAAAAGGGACACCCTATGTCTTGGAGCTTGTTTGATAAAATATAACCAAGTCATGAAAGAAGTTGTAAACCAGAATATATCAAATAATCTAACAGCTCCATCTTTAAAGGGTTGGTATTATTTATATCATTATGATAAAGAAATGGTTGAAGAAGAATGGTATGAAAGAATATAAAAAAAGTTTATTCACACACTAATACTTTTATAAGAAATTTTATCAGACGATCTATTAAAGGAGGAAGAGTTTCAGCAAATAGAAAATCATTTGAAACGAACAAAATGGATGAAATTTGTAATGTATTAAAGGAATTCACAAAGTGATACCGAAAGTATTTCACGAAGTGATAACATAATTGATTTATTCAAAGAATACAGTGCAAGCACAAAAGACAAAACAGAAGTTAATTCAAAACTTTAAAAAATAAACTGCAATAAACTAATGGCATTTGATGCTAATGGTTTATACTCTTCAGCAATGTCAGATTTAGACAGTGAATATCCAAAAGCAGAAAGTGGAAGACCGTTTCTACCAGAAGAAGAAAAAGAAATTGTAAAACTCTTCAATAAACAAAAATTTAGCTATTTTAACAGTGTGGTTTGACTATCCCTAAAACATGTTCTTCCAACCGATACCAGCTAAAGATAAAATCACTTTCACGAGTAAAGAAGGTAAAAAGGAAACTGGTAACAAAATCAGGTTCAGAAATGGTTTCTGTCACGACGTTTTAACATCGGTTGAAATTCAAGAAATAGTTAAAGCCGGTGGACGAATTATTAGAATATTAGATGGTATAGTATACGAAGAAAATTTTAAAACTCCATCATATAGAGATTATATTTTAATTTTGAGAGATCTAAGAAATAAATATAAACGAGAAGGTAATATTGTTGGTAGTAATTGCATGAAATTATTAGGTAATTCCTTGTATGGTAAATCAATTCAAAAAGATATATTCACAACTAGACATTTATGGAATGAAGCAATTTACAGGCTAACTTTGATTCACATATTAAAACCTATGAGAAAATTAATGATACTCAATATATTGTTGAAACAGAAATTGAAGAACAAGAGATTACTACCGAAGATCACTCAAGTAAATCTACACGACTAACACCTAGTCATTTGGGATCATTCGTTTTATTTCACAGTAAAAAAAATAATGAACAATTTCATTCACGTGATTCATGGATTTTATAAACCCGAAATATACTATACCGACACTGATAGTTTGTACATTTCATCCAACAATTGGAAAAAACTAAACAGAGCTGGTTTGGTCTCCGAAAAAAACTTTTGCAAAGGTAAAAACGATTACGGTGATGGTGGAATTATATTTGGTTTATATTTAGCACCAAAAGTTAAATACAATATCATTCTAACTTTTGATGGTGTTTTAAAAGAAAAGAAAACATTTAAAGGTTATTCTAATAAGATAAGTGTAGAAGATTACATTCAGTTAGCAAGCGGACATGATGTGTCGAATGAATTTAAGAAATCATGGGAAAAAAGTTTCACCAATGGAGTTGTAGAGTGCATACATATACACGAACGCAACCTCACAAGTCATGATAAGCTATTAAGTCATATCGAAGGTGCTCAAATAACGTCACGTCCTTCTTAAGTAATATGGCCGATGACCAGGTGGCATTTCATTTATCCTGTGATTCTTTTGTTGATTTTTGGAAGTTTGGTGGTTGACAATTTTTTGCCCGTTCCCGTTCCCGTAACCATTTCAGTTACTAGCTCTCGTTTTTATTCTGTATTTTTAAGTCCATTATCGGTGCGATTGTATGTTTGTTCACCTGTACAGTTGTCTACAATTGGGATGATTAAAACTTTGATGAAAACGTCTAAACGTTACCTTTCCCTTATCCAGTGGTGTGCATGTTAGTGGGTGAAGGGGACGCATCGACAGCATCTACATTAATATCAACAAATTAGACCAGGTATGGAGACACAGGATAGTGAAAGCCTCCATGAAGGAGCTGTGAACAGTAATAGTTCCAGTTCAGAACTTAAGTTGCATACAGAGAATTTCGAAAAGGTTTTGAAGTCTATGTCGAAAGATATACAGTATAGTATGCTTACTGATGACGGTTACGACCACATCTTTGACCTGTATAAAAAATGGTTAGAAGTTTTAGAGAGGTACCAAGTAACCCATCACCAGTACATACAGATAATAGAAGAGGCAGATAGACAATCTTACCTCTACGATCATATTGATTTTCAAATGGAAATTGATAGTGGCTTAAGTTAAACAAACCTACACCGCCTGATGTTAAACCCTCTGACAGTGTGTCTCAACTCAGCAGAAGTAATTCATCCTCTGCTTCCTCCAAGAATTCAGATTGGGTAAGAGAAGAACAAAAGAGGATAGAACTTGTTGAGAAAAGAAAGGTTTTAGAGCAGAAACAGGAGCTTGAAATAGAGAAACTGCAAATTGAACAAAAGGAAAGGAAACAGCGTGATAAGGAGAAACTCGAAATGGAGAAACTTCAGATTAAGCAAAAGGAAGAAAAGATACAGATGGAGTCAGATATTGCCGTTGCTGAAGCGAAATCAGCTGTAAGCTTAAGAGCAGCAAGCCATCATAGCAGTAATAGATCAACATCCTCAAGGAGACATACTCAGAACATCACACAGATACCTATAGAAGGTATAAGCATACCTACTGCCCAACTCTGATAAAAGGAAGTAAGTGACAAATTTGAAAAAAATGGTTTTTTGAGTTAATCATAGAAAAGGAAGTATGTGCTATCGAATAAAAATAAAAATGATGAAATTTTCTGATATTTTTAATCATTTAGAGAAGTGGTAAATGTCAATATTATTTTTTTCATCATAAAAACTTTTCAAATTTGCATTAGTATGCTTTCGCTTTAAGACATGTTTCGTAAATTGAAAAGTAACATTATTTGGTGTACAAGCACATGCATGGTTTTGTTTTTATCATTACAGCGGTGTTGTTGGTGACCAAAATGATTTATCATCTCGACCTTATGAGAATTCAGATACCAGGAGCCAAACTGAAGAGATTGAAAACACACAGTTGTCTGAATTATTCAAGCATGATATTGAAGACGGACATATTTTTCCGTTGTACGACGCATTAAACCTTGATCTTCCAATTCCTATGGAACAAAATGATCCCACTACAACTACTGCTGATGAAGAAGTTCATCTTCAAGATGTCACGGTTCAAGATGTTGATATGGGTAACTACTCGTCAGATACAGACGAAATTGAAATATTGACGATGAATAATGAGAGATTCACAGGAGGACAAGATTGTTGAACAGGATCAAAATAAAATTCAGCCAGCTTGCCAAGAAAAGCCTCAAATCACTGCAACTGAATCAGCAGTAAAACATCCATTGCTTGAACCTTGTAAATGCAGACGGAAATGCTTAGAAAAGATTTCGGAAGAAAGGCGTAAAGAAATTTATGATCAATTTTGGGCTTTATCTTATCATCAGCGTCGAATCTTTATTCATACAAATGTTAAGCCTTTTCCTAAAAAGCGTCAAAGGAGCGGCACTTCATGAGAACGTGAACGAAAATGGAGTCGTTCATATTCTTTTCATGACAGCAAAGTAAAGGTCCAGTATGTGTGCAAGCAGTTTTTTCTAAAAACCCTCTGGTACAGCTCAGATAAGATTCATACTATTACGTTGTCATCTGCTGTTTAAATGATCTTTTACCACCTCCAGATAAACGTGGGAAACATGCTCCGACACATAAAATGAGTGATAATACCAAAAACCTCATTACAGATCACATTAACTCTTTCCACCCTGCCATCAGCCATTACAGACGCGAACACGCCCCTCATAGGAAATATTTATCCCCTGAACTCTCCATTAAAGAAATGCATGATGATTTCAAGACAAAGAATCCAGGAATTGCTTGCTATGAGACTTATCGAAAGTTTGTCTCTGCAATGAATATCAGCTTTGCAAAGCTTGGAGAAGAAGAATGTGAAGACTGCATCCTCTTCAAACAACACATTCATGATAATCAAGATACAGCACAGTGTAGTGTATGCCAAAACCACGCAGTTCACCTTTCTAGAGCTTCTATCAGTCGAGATAAGTATCGCGAAGATGTAAATAAAGAGCATGTTGATGGTAGCATGTTCATCTCCGCTGATATGCAAAAGATTATTATGTTGCCAAGAATTCCAGGAGTAAAGTCATGTGTCTTTACCCGTCGACTTGTTCTGTTTCGCCCCTTTAGGAGGAAGTCAGACAAGTAAAAACAGAAAACCGGTTGGCATTGTGTGGAATGAGTCTACCTCTGGTCGAAATGCTGAAGATTTGGCAAGTGCCTATATCAAGGCTATGGAAGATCCACTGTATCGTGACTTTTACATTTTGGACTGATAATTGCTGTGCCCAAAATAAGAACTAAACACTCTACACGGCTATGGTTTGGAAAGTTAACGATCCAGCTGGGCCAGAAAATATTAGTTTCAAATATTTAGAAAAGGGACACACTTTTATGTCAGCTGATTCTTTTCACGCACTAACAGAAAAGGGAATGAGAAAGAAGAAAAACACATATGACATGAATGATTTTAAAGATGTTATAAATTATGGAAGAGCAGTTGAATGGAATTTGATGATTTTATTAATTTCAAAAACGGTGTATCAAGCGCTTTGTTTACCTCAAAGCCAATATTGTCAAGTATATGCGAATGTAGCTTCAAGAGGGGTTCCTCCAAGATCTTCTGGAAGAATTCCTTTGGTGACAATGAATTTCAGTCGGGTGAATTTCTGCAAAAAAGAGTAGCTTCAAAACTTCTAGAAGGTATATCGTTCGACAGAAAGGTAGCAGACAGGGGGTAACAAATTGTAAAAAAATGGATATAATTACAAATGTGCCCTTTAATGCCAAGCAATTTCTGGGATAGCTTGTTCGTTAACGACGAATCTGTTGACATGATTGACAAAGACTAAAAATCAAGTCTACTTCTACTTTCAATTTGATTATAGATCAGTTGGTTTGCTTTGTTCTATGCAGAAAAGGCATCTTTTCATAATGAAATTTGTACTCATTTATAATTGATGCAATTCCTCATGTAAAGAGTTCATTTGCTGCAACCTACGTATTTCCAAATTGTTGTTTTGGATTTCTAGTTTTGTTTTGCAGTTAGTACTTGTTTTTGTATTTTTTTTATTATATTAAAATTGACAAATGTCTTTTATTGAACTCGTTTAACGAAAACTAATTTCAAAAGGCAAAAGTATTTCTAGGCCGATGAAATGTTACTTACTTCCTTTTGACATTGTGTTTTTGTTTAAGTGGTATAATGCAATCACAATGACAAAGAGAAGCAAGTAGCACTATTTCTTCAAAAAGTCATCAACAAACATTTTAGCTCTATTTTTTTAGTTCCTGGTGATAATTGTTTGCCTAATCAAATCTAATATCTTTACTTGTGATATAAAAAACAGAGAGCAAAGTCCCAAATGGTTTTTCACTTTTACTGAAAATCTCAATAATGCGACATACTTCCTTTTGTCAGAGTTGGGCAGTATAGTGAAGGTTTCAATAAAACCCTTATCCAGTCATTGAAGCGTCCTGTAGTTGACATCAAGAAATTTGGAGGTGACCCTTCAGAATATCTCTGTTTTGTTAGACAATTGAACACTCAAGTTTTTGCAAACTGTAGTACAGATAAAGAAAAACTTAAATATTTGGAGTCTTTTACTTATGGTCATCCGAATAAAATAGCAAGAGGATTTTCCTATCTAGGTGGTGAAACTGGCTTTACAGCTGCAATGAAAGAGCTTGGTGAGAGATATGGTGATCCTAATCATATTGCAGAGACTTACATCAATCGTGCACTGAACTTTAAGAAGATTAAATCAGATGATCACGTGTTACTTGATGACTTTGGCATATTTTTGAATGAATGTTTATATGCGGTAAATAATATTGATGCTATGATAGTTATGAATTACCCCAAGAATATCCAAACTTTGTTGTCCAAGTTACCTTTTTATATGCATGATAAATGGAGGGGGTTTAAAGATAATATTAAGGGTGAAACTGTTAGTTTTAAGCACTTTGTACAATTTGTTAAGAAACAAGCTAAGAGGCTAAATGACCCTGTGTATGGTAGGGATGCTATGGCAAGTGCAGACAATTCTATTAGTAAGAGTCAAAAGGATTTAAAGGTCAAATCTAAGCCTGTTACAGGTAAAGTTTTTAACACCTCAGTAACTGATGTAAATTCTGACGGTATCAAATGTAAATATTGTCATTTCAATAATCACTCCATTAGTGAATGCAGAAAATTAGCTAAACTCTCAAGAGACGATATAGTTAAGTGTGTATCTAGAGAAAAACTATGTTTTGGATGTCTAAAATCAGAAGAAGAGTATGCTGGAATAAGCAAAGTTGTAGTAAGAGTAAACTTAGACACCCCACCATCCTACATAGTGATTCCTTAAACAATTCATTAGATAGTAATAATTCTAAGGCTGCTAGTTCTATTAGTACAGATGATAATTCTACTGAGAATAATAATAATAATGATACTAGTTTAAGTCTAGAAACTAAAATTAATAGAGTTAAGGCTTTTGTCTCGATGGAGGCCGGTGACGATAGATTTTGTACTATGCCTATTGTACCCACTAAGGTTGTACATGGTTGTAAGACCATCGACACCTATGCCTTTCTGGATGTTGGAAGTTCAGTTTGCTTTTGCACTGAGAAACTTTTAGGCGACCTTGGAATAAAGGGAAAGAAAAGCAAATTATTATTAGAAACTATGAATAGTGAATCCACCATAGAGGCATCGGTAGTCGAAGGCCTTCAAGCATTTAGTTATAATTTAAAAGATTCTGTTTGTTTGCCAAAATGTTATTCAGTTCATAAAATACCTGTTACTGTAGATCACATTCCAACAACCGGGGATCTTGTGCATTATTCACATTTAAGGGATGTTCAGGTACCCGAAGTAGAATGTGGAATAGGCCTTATTATAGGTACTAATATAGCAGATGCTTACACCCCTTTAGAAATAAGGATAGGCCCTCGTGGCACACCGCATGCGACAAAGACAACATTAGGTTGGGTCTCTTGGAATGTGTTTAGAGAGAATTTTAAGTCATATTCAAATGTTATAAATAGAATTAATATTCGTGCTGCAAATTTATCATATTTATATAGATTAGTTCAAACAGGTTTAAGTTTAGATTTTCCTGATCACAGCGTTTATGAACGCCAAGAGAATTCAGTCTTGGACAATTTATTTGTAGATAAAGTTAGTAAATCTATTGTCAAAGATAAAGAAGGTCGTTATGAAATAGCATTACCTTTTAAGAATTCAAATGTTTTGTTACTAAGAATTATGATTCTGCATTAAGTAGATTAGAAAGTTTAAGACGTAAACTTAATAAGGATGTTAAATTTCGCGATGACTATGTTAAGTTTATGAACTCAGTTCTCGAGAAAGTGTATGCCGAACCGGTACCAGAATCAGAGCTTTCAGTAGATCGCGATAAACTATGGTATATACCACATCACGGTATTTATCATAAGCAGAAACAAAAACTGTCAAGGTATTACGCTTAACGATGTTTTGCTAGCAGGACCGGATTTAGCCATTAGTCTATTAGGCGTATTAATGAAATTTCGGTTAGGTAAAATAGCCTTTATGGCCGACGTGGAAGGAATGTTCCACCAGGTTAGGGTGCCAGTTAAGGACCGCTGCAGTTTGCGCTTTTTGTGGTGGCTTAATGGTAACTTGTCATCTGAAGTCAAGGAATATCAGATGACCGCTCATTTATTTGGGGCAGTTTCATCGCCTTCATGTTCTAATTATGCATTACAGCAGACTGCGCGCGATAATGTTGACCAGTTTGCGAAAGACGCAATTCATACTTTGTTAAATGAGTTGAGGAAAATGTTGCGGTTAATTTAGTTCAGAATTTGACCGAATTATGTAAATTAGGTGGTTTTAGATTGTACAAGTGGATTAGTAACAGTAATATTGTTACCGACTCGATTCCTATAGAGGAACGCGCTGATTACACTAATCCCACTCTTGGTGAAAATGATCCCGTTATTGAACGGGCACTTGGAATAATTTGGGAAGTATCTTCAGATTCTATAACGTTTAAAATTAACATAACTAATAAACCGTTTACGCGAAGAGGTATTTTATCAATCGTAAGTGCGGTATATGACCCACTCGGTTTAGTAGCTCCTGTTATATTACCTGCTAAGCAATTACTACAAGAATGGTGTCAAAGTGGCCTATCTTGGGACGAGAAGATATACGAT